TGAGGAAATGTCAGAGTCTTCGGCACAATCTTTGGCATATGCAAACAGAATTCTCTTCCTTTATGTTTCGCTATGCAGAGAGGAGGGTAGGGAACACTTACTCGATGATTTAGGGTGACACATCCATTATAATGAAAGACTGTGCCGCTGCTTGCCAGCACTCCTGGCTGATCTGCCTCCTCCCAGATGCTCAGCCATATGTCCCATGCTTGGTGTGAGTGACAGTTGTGTTGGCGGAGAAGGATTCCTGGGATCTGGGTGTTTTTAACAGAAATCCCAGAAAGCTCTGATTGCTGGCTCAGGTGAGAAAGGCAGCAGGAGAGGGCTCATCAAGTTGGAGCTGAGTACTTTTAAAGGTGGTGCTTCAGTGGTATGACCATAGGATGGAGGGAGATGGACTCTCAGGGCCAAGGGGGTCTCTGAGAAGAGAGTCCAGGTTCTGCTCATGGCTCTTTCCACCATTGCTGGCCTCCTAGTGCAAGTTCTCCTCTTTCCTGCCTCACCCCTAGCTGGCTGCTCTGTGCTGTCTGTCTTCCAGCAGCTCCTGATCTTCCTCACTTACCAGGGCTCCAGCATCTGAGCGCTTAGCTGCATGCGTACTGCTGTTCTGTGAAAGCAGCTGCTGCTTGGATGGTGTAGATTTCCTGGCCCTTTGCCTATTGCAGCCTGAGCTTAATTGCCTCTGCTCTTGGAATGAAACCAATATTTATTGAACATCTACTGTATAGATGACATCATGTTAGTCCCTCCAAAAAAAAAAACAGAATTAAGTGTGATATTTGATAATGGTTTTCTACCTTAAGAAATGTATAATCTAGATGTGAATTAGAACTCTTATGTCCTGGCAACCTTGGCCAAGTTTCTCAACCTCTTTTTACCTCAGTTTCTCCAACCATAAAATAGGAAGAATAATGGTACATATGATTGCTATTGATAAATTAATATGTGTAAAATGCTTAAAATACTACAAGGTACATAAGCATTCAATGTTAGCTGGTTTTGACCCCTAACTGGAAGCAAAAGGAATAAAAAAGGAGTAAAATATTAATCTGCCATACTTTATAATCAGAGATTTGTGTAAACTAAATTCTCACAATACATTTAAGGTAGGCATTACTGGTATCCTTTCATTTTTCAGTATAAAGAGGCTCTGCTAGATTAGTAGTTTGTCCAAACTTACACAAGCTTACAATATTGACCGAACTTACAGTCAAAGCCAAAACAACTTGATACCAAAGTCCATGATTTTGAAAAGACAATTTAAAATGTAAATATTTCCAAAACATTAGAGGATATACAGCAAAATGATATCCATCTGATTTAGTGTATAAATTGCCTGTGACTATATTGCTGTAATTGCCTGTGTAAATTACTATGAAACTATTGAAAGCAGGAAGTTCTTCCTTCCACTAGGCCTGGAGGGAAAGGAGGAAGGAGCAATTCTTGGAGCTCAGGGCAGGTAGCCATGTGGAGAGAGGGCAGCCTGGCAGGAGCTGTACCTCTGGGTGAAGGGACACAGCCAACCTGCCTGTGACTAGGAGGGACGGAGCCAGGGAAAATAAATACCCTATCTTACCCTCCTCCCTCCTCTCTCCTGCCAGTGACCTTGGGAGAGCACAGGAGCTCTTTGCTACAGTCCACAAAGGCCATCCTCCCTGAGCAAGGAAAAGGTGGAGAAGAACAGAGAATGGCCGGGGTTCAAGTAAAAGATAATCCAAACAAGAGCCCTGCAAGAAGAGGAGACAGCTCACATAACAGAGTCTAGAACACAGAAAATACTGAACACTTGATGGTTACTATTATCTCATTGTTTTCCTGCATTAATTGGCTCAGAATTCATGTGTTCAGATCAGCCCCTCGGGCCTCACTACAAGTGAAAAAGTTTTCTAATCCCTGCAGTAGCATGAGAAATAAGTCACTAAAGAGTTAAACTGAGTTGTTCATTTGTTTGTGAGGAGGGGTTTTTTTTTTTTTTTTTTTTTTTTTGGTCTATAATTTTTGCTTTTCTATTTTTTTAAGAGGAAGTTTAAAAAAAGAAGTACTCTTGAAAATCATCTTTTTTTTTAAACACAACTTTTGTGATTTGTTTTATTGGCGGTTCTTTACAGAGGAAAGGGGCCTGTTTGTTTAGATTGCTATGCAACAGGAGGCATTGAGTAAATGGTTTCCCTGTTTTTATTATTTTAAACTTCACCCAGGAGAAAATTGATCCAAGTTTTAAAAAAAGAGGAGGAATGGAATATAGACTCCAGTGTTTTCAAATTTCTAAAAGACAGTGCAACTAACAGAACTTATAAATAAAAACTACCTTTGTTTCCTTACTTTCAAGGTAAAAATCAATAAGAAATGTTTACATCTGTTCAAATAGATTTTTTCCAGGCAATTTATATGTTATATGCCAAATAATTACTTAATGTTGGAAATTTATCACTTGCAATCAAATGACTGCAGAAGGTTAAGCTGTTGTAGAGTTATTGTTCTTCTCCCTTTCTGGCCCTCATAACAGACACAAAGCACAACTAGGCAGAAGCCATCCTAGGTGTGGCGGGAAGAGGGGCAGATACCTATACCAATTCTCACCCCATTTCAAGCTCAATCCAGAGTTTTGTTTACAAAAGCTTTAAGTTCTCCACTGAGCTACCTTTTGTGATGCCAAGAGGTTTTTGGTTGACATTCATGTCAGTGCTATTATCAGATTGGCTGCCTTGGTGAAGTTTCTGAATTTTCTGTTCAAGCTAGAGTGCCCCACACTTGGTTAACTCAGACATCTGGAAGCCAATGGTGGGGAAAGAGAGCAAAGGTTAGGAAAAAAATAACACTCAGTAGCAACCAGCAAAACAGACTTGACTGGAGCAACAAGAAGGCCCTGTAAACAGACATTAGCTCTTGTGGCAACAGCTCATCTTGTAAAAAACAATGTCTCACTGCCCATCTAATGTCAAAAGATGAAAATAGGTATAAAGAAATAAACGAAAACCATTAAAATATCACTGCCCAAAGACTGCCAATACTAACACTTTGATACATTTCTTTCCAGTTTTTAAATACATATTCTATACATATATAAGTAAAATTACAAAGAAATGTAACAAGTATTTTTCAACTAAAAAACAAGATGATTTTAAACATGCAGTTTTACGTCCTGCATTTTAAGTCTAACATTACACTTATATATTTTCCTATCATTACATATTTTCATAATTTTTTTTAATCAGACACATAATTGTTCCTCCTACAGAGGGGCAAAATTTATACAACCAACCTTTACATATTGTTGGCATTCATGTTGTTTCTAACTGTTGTTGCAAATAATGTTTTGAAGAATATCCTTGAAGTGATATCCTCATAATTCTGTCTATAGGATAAATTCCTAGCAGTGGAATTATGGGGTGAAAAGGACTTTAAAACCTACAGCCAAAGTCACCATCTACAAAGCTGTCCCAAGTCCCGGTTTCAGGGGCAGCTCATGAAAATAACTATTTCATGACATCCTACCAATCCTGAGGATTATCTTTAAATTCCTTGGCTTATTTGAAAAGTGGGAAAACAATGCTTTCATATTTTAAAACTTCTTTTTCTTTGCTTAAAAATAAGTCTGAACATTTATTGACCATGGCAACTTAACTATGAAAATCCTGATTTCCCTTAGAGTGGACTTAGAGTGCCATATCCCTGAGAAAAATCAACTTCCACAGGAAGTGTGAAGACAACTCTCTTAACATAAATATCACAAGCTCCCTAACAACCTTCATTTTAATAATAATGCCAAACAATGGATTCTTTTCTGCCATATTTTGTAATATAGTCATGCCAACTTTCAAAGGCTGACGTACTCTGGAATTAAAAGCAGACTGTGGCAAGAGACATTGGCAGCTCTCCAAACCAGAATGACAAGTGATCATTTCTGTCATTCTGAGTCCACAGGGTATGGGGCAGGGACACAGTGCCTAGTGACATGGGAATTCATCAGCAACCTGACACTTGTTCACCCCTCACATGTCAGAGACCCTGTTGACAGTTGGGTCAAATCTACAGAGCACTTCCCAGAATAATGCCTTTAACTGCTTAAAATAAAATACATAGAACTATAAAAGAATACAATTATATTAATATTGTTAACAAAACACTTATAAAATCTGTAGCATGGTAATTTATGTGCTTATTTATTAACAACTATATAACAAAATCTAGTGGCAGATCAAAAAGTTATCATCATCATTGCAAAGATAAAGATATTTCAAGTAATGAAAATATTTATTTCTAGCAGTGACAAAGTCCAAGTTCTGGAAACACCATCCTGGGCCATTGCCTACATTTCTAATGAAGGCAACACAGCATTTCAGTGAGAATTTAGTAAAAGATGCAATTGTCTTCGCATATTGAATTCTTGAATTCTCACCATGGACTTCAGGTTAAGAACTTGTGGTCACATGAAGTGCTCAGAAAGTGGTTAAGTTATATAAATGCATTATCTCCACCTCTACCCACCACTAGCAATTTGACATTTTCTCTGGGCCCTATCCATTTTTTTTCTTTTCTTCTCTAATTACTACCATTCTGGGAAGCTGTTGGAACAGCACAGTTGGGTTGGCTACAGTGGAAGATCTTAGTCAAAGGGTTGAAGTCACCATGTTAAAAACACTGTGCTTGATGAAGTTGTAGATCTCTGTGCTCTGATCACATACTACAGGTAGCACCATTACACCACACTGTGACTTAACAACCCATCCTTGAGATTCAAAAGCTCAGGGTTCCAGCAATGGCTTCCCCCCAACCACCAGCTGTGTTACTGTGAAGACAAAGCAAAACAAATAAACAAACAAACAAAAACCCTTGTCATTCTCAAGCCTTAACTTAAAAAAAATTTGGAAAAAGACTATGTCTAAGTTCTCCCAACTCTCAAAATATTTGACATTAAAATTTTTTAACTTTCATTGTATTTTGAAAATAACTGTATCTTTCTGGAAGAGTTCTTGAGCATGCAGAAAAGAAGGCCTTACCTGTTTTCTAAAGTAAAGCTTCTATCCTCTTCATTCCTGTCAGCCCCCTTTTTCCATTTTTTCTCATGTTCCTTGTAAAACACAGAATTTTTCTTTTCTTTAAAGCTACAGAGTTTGAATTCTTATGTTGATTCTAAAGTAGAACTTGCAGTTTCTCTGGGTTTCCAGTCTTGCACAGCCCTCCTCCCACTGGATCCAAATTCCCAGGAAGCTCATCTCCATCTCAGCATTGGTTCTGGTGCTCCCCATGCTCTGCTTATGGGGCACCCTGCCTTCCTCAGTAGGGAAATTTTCCTTCATGGGCTTTTTTTTTTTTTTTTCTCCTTTGAGGCCTCAGGCAGAAATTTCTTTCAGTGTGTTGTTGCATGGAACAAATAAAGTATTCTGTTCTCTTACTCAAATAGAATTCACAGAGTAAATATTTTTCATGGCTTTTCATTTCTAATCACCTAACATTTTAAACACTTGGCATTCTGCTGTGTTCAAGTGGTTGAGCACAGACTCGGGAGCACCCTGAGCTTCAGGTGTCAGAGAACAGAAGGCTGGATAAATGGGGTAGCCTGGCAGGGACTACCATCGGCCCCTTGGGCCCTAAGAATACTAACAAGGCAGAAGGGAGAGACACAGAGGCAGCCTGCTCTTGGCAAGCCCAGGCAGGGTTTCCTTTGATGTGAAGTCTTGCCTATATTGCTTTGTATGTCTGCGTTGGCAGGCAGGAGGCAGCTCCCTTCCAACAATGAGGTGCCCTTGTGTATTGCTGCCATCCAAGGAAACAGAGATGCTTGCAAGTGGCTCCCTGGGTGATGGGAGAGGGGAAGAGGGGGTGCCTGGAGTTGCTGAAGGAGGCAGGGCACACACTCAAGGACAGCCCCAGTGCGGAGGTGAAGATGTTAGCAAGGAAGCAGGCCTGGGATTTATACCAGAGCTCTCAGAATATTTTACTGACTGTACTTTGAAGCAGGAACAATTTAAAAGAGATACAGAGTAATTAGGAGCAAAATGATGAAAGTGATTTCCTTTGATGGAAACAAAAAGAGATTTAGAAATGCCCATTGCAATTATCTCAAGTTAGTCTGGGTCAAATACTGGCTTGTGAATGTTAATCACCGCAGCTGGCTAGACTTCTTGTAGGTTTTGTGGAGGTCATTAGTGCTGTTCTCTAATATTTCCAGTTATCTCTCCTTTCAAACATGAGGTAGATTGTACTTTCTGGTTCTAACCAACAAATAGAAGTGATGTGGTCTCCTCCTGGATGAAATATTAAATTACTGATTCGAGATCCTCAAGCACACTCTTTCTTCCCTGAAATGGGTACCCCCAGTATGGGGATTCCAAAATGTCAGTGTTCTCCCTCCAATCCATAAAGGATGAGTAGCATGAGCAAATCAATCTTTTTGGTTTAGTCACTAAGATTTGAATGTTGTAACAGCAGCCTAACCTAGAATATTGTTAACTAATAAAGGTCCAGAAGATTCCTTTCCTTGTCCAATTGTTGTCACAGAAATTAGACCCTGAACTGTATTTGAGTGATCCTTAATGTCCTTAAAAAATCATTCCTACCTTATTTAGGCAAGGAACTCTCACATCCAGGAACTGAATTCCTGGGAGAGACAGCATTACAGGGCAACTGTTTGTCCTATCTTAAAGCCTTAAGCTTTGGGAAGCCCAGAATATTGTCGATAAGAGCTACAATTGGTTCAAGAAAGGTGTCAGATGTTTATTGAGTATTGTTTAGCCTAAAAGAGAAACTCATCTACTGAATTCATTAATCAAATCTCTGCATATATTTCTGTGGTCAAGGGAACCTCAGTCTCCAAGAAGCTTGTAACGTAATAGTGGAAAAAGTAGGAATAGAACATAGTTGGAAGAAACTCACAGAATCAAAATAACTCAGAAAGAATTCAGGCTGAAAATCAGAAGAGATATTAGAATGAATAATCAATAATGTAAAATAGGAATAAAAGGTCCAAAGGGGTAGGGGTAGTGGGAGGGGCAGGGGAAAGGAAAGAAGGGAAAGGAAAAATGATGAGAAATGGAAAAAATGGAAATAAAGTCTTTGTAAATAGGGAAGGGTGGAGGGCGTGAAGGGAGGGCTAGGAATGGGGAAAAAATAAGAACCAAGATGCATTATGTAAAGGTACAATTCCCAATGAGAAATGTAATTGTGTTGTATACCTACAATGTGCCAATAAAAGAATTTAATACAAAAAAAAAAAAAGAAAATCAGAAGAGACACAATTTGCATTATACTGAAAATAATTTGTAGCCCTATAAAGCACAGAAGAAGGGATACTGATTGACCCTTCCTTTGAGGTACACAAAATCTGCTGTTAATTCTAAGAAGCTTTGAGGAAGATGTTTTCAGGAATTACTTGACATTTAGAAGGTAAGATAAAATGATGGGTCAGGAGAACTGACAGCAATACTTCTTGCAGATCTTAGAAAATGATCTAAAACCCAAGTCAAGGTGGCTTTCCAAGTGGTCACTATACAGGGTTGTTCTGAGGGACCCAGTAGGGTGTTACATTTTCAGGTAGACAAATAATATAAAAGAAGAAAAGTCAAGTGGTAGAAAATGGAATGATACGGGTGTTTTGTTGTTGTTGTTCAGTGTGGTACTGGGGATCAAACCCAGGGCCTTCACACTGAACTCTTTTTAACCCCTTTTTAAAAATTTTATTGTGAGGTCTTGCTGAGTCACTAAATTTCCCAGGCTGGGCTTGAATTTATAATCCTCCTGCCTCAGCCTCACAGAGTGCTGAGGTTACAGATATGTGCTACGACACCCAGCTAATAAAGATTTTAAAAGATAAAGTAATCCTAGTAGAAGTATTCCAGGAAAAAAAATACTCCAGGAAAGGAGGACAGATCAAAGTGACAAAAAATAACATCAGCAGAAGAATCTAGAGTATCACTTGGAATGGAGTAATAATGGAACCTGAGAAGTTAAGAAAAGAAAGACAGCAAGCTTCTATGACAGAGGACTGGCTTGTGACAGTCATGTGACTAAAATTTGTGACTGTCCTCTAATGTCTGTCCTCATCTTCTTTCCTTGGATGGAAGGCCCAATTTTTCCCTAAGTGCACAGCTGCCAGAATAAAGATTGCATGTCTTAGATTTTTCTTCAAATAGGTATAAACCCCTGTGAACAAAGAGAAAAAAAGAAAAATGTATCATGTGATCTCCTTAAAGAGAAGAGAATGCTCTTATTTTTCCCTTGCCCTTCCTACTGGCTGGAAAGTAACCATGATAGAGTGGGCTAGATCAATCATCTCGGTCAAGGAAGTATGTGTCAGGATAGCAAAACTAGAAGAGAAAAGGAGCTTGAGTTCCTGGTGGTCATGGAGCCAACATATACCTGGATTGCTTACCCTTGAATATTTTTTTAATATGAGAGAGAAAGAAATGTTCATCCAACTTGCCACTCTTATATTGAGTTTTCTTTCACTCAAAAGTTCAACATCATTCTTACCAATTTGAGAAGTTATCTTTGACATATATACAGGTACTTCTTATTTTGTTCTTTATAATTGTCCATATTTCCTAAGTTTTCTACAATGAATATATGTAGTTTTTGTAAACTGGGAAAAATATTTCTTTTTTTCAGGTGAATGAGAGAAAGGCTGAAGAAGAAATACCCTGGGATAGACTACACTTTGATGTCCTTTGTAGAGCAAAAGAGCCTCCAACTTGAATCACTCTTTTAATACCACGTTGACTTGTCCTTGAGAGACTTTTCCTTCTGCCATGCAAGTCTTCTTGTTGCCTTTTCCTGTAAAGTTTCAGTGCAGAAAATAGAAACTGTTTTAGATAGCTAAAATAGATAGGAATTTAACACAGGACATTGGGTACAGCATAATCATTAAAAGAGGGGGAGAAATGTGAGGAAGCCCTGTTAAAGATCATGCTGCTACTGGGTTTTGCGCTTATACCCAGGAACCTGTGAACCAGAAATCAGGAAATCATTGTCAGTACCCAGAGGTCAAGAGATGGCTGCCAGTCTCAAAGCTGCCCCACATTCATGAAGCTGGACACTAGTGGAATGTGAAGTGGAATGTGGAGTTTGTCTGCTACAAAAAACATTTCTGCCAAAGCTACCACTGCCATGAAAATAAGAATGGCCTCTACCAATATTTCACCATCCAGATCTTATGGGAGGTATCTCATTTCTGGGACTGCACCTAAACCCTGATAACAGGGGAGGCTGAGAAATGTAGTTGTGATAGGGATGTATGTAGGTAGGGTGGAGATGAATCCTGGGTGCAATAGAAAATACTTGGCTCCTCTCTTGCTTGTCCCCACTAAGTTTTCAGACATTCTCAATGTCTCTTAGGTGGCTTTCCTGCTCACGATTTTTCTGTAGGCATTTAAAAACTACTGTCATGCAATTATTATATGTTAACAGTGTGTTAGACACTTCCAGAATGATACATGTACCTCAGTACATGTACAGAATGATAGCATGATTCAGGTCATCTGACCCTTCCTCCATTCAAAAACTATACAATAGTCTGCCTTTACCTGTGGTTTTGTTTTCCCTGGTTTCAGGGACTTGTAGTCAACCATATTAAATATTAAACCTTAAAAATATTAAGAGGAAAATCCCAAAAATAAGCAATTCATAATTTTAAAATAACTTTTATTCTATTATATTGTCATAATTATTCTACTTTATTTCAGTTATTGTTGTTAATCTCTTACTTCCATAATTATTTATACATTAAACTTTATCCTCGTGTGTGTGTCTGTGTGTGTGTGTGTGTGTGTGTATGTGTGTAAAGGTATAGTGTACATAGGACTCAGTACTACCTGTAGTTTCAGGAATCCACCATGGGTCTTGGAACTTATCCCCATTGGAAGAACTATATTGTATATTCAATGCCTATCAGATACTCAAAAGAAATCATAACTCTGTTTTGTTTTGGGGTTTTTTTGGTCAAAGAAAGTTCAAGGGTGAGCCAGTGGTGCAATGGATAATGCGTCTGACTATGGTTCAGAAGAAAATTCAAGCGCCTTAATTGAAACCTAACAGACTCTCCAGAACCTGACCTCAACTCATGTTTGAAACATTACCTTTTGTTTCTCCACTTAGTGAGCCCTCATGGACCAAGAAAACCAAATGTTTTCCTGTTTTCTACACAGGCATCTCTTTCTGCCATCAGCACTTTAGCCTCACCTTCATTTCTCTTCTATCTCCTGGGGGCAAAGTGTTGCAGCTCTCTCAGTACCCAGCTCAGATGTTACCTCATCTATGAAGTCTTTCCTGATGCAGTACAGCTAGAAATCATCATTCCTTATCCAGAATTCCAGGAATTTGTTTTATTTTGCTGCCATGGAATTTAGAACAATCTATCTTCTATTACAGATTTTTGTGTAAACATCATTTCTTTTCTAGTACAGCATAGACCACAGAGGAGAAAGGATTATTTCTTCTTTATTTTTGATTCCCAATAGTGTCATAGTATGTGTTAAATGAATAAATGTAAAACTGGAAAATAGTTTTTACCCTCAAAGGATGTATAATGTAATACTAGAAATAAAAAAGTACCATCAGTCTGTTTCTTAATATATAATATATGACATTATTTGCCCGAAATTTCATTCTTCCTATATTACACATGTTCCATCTCTTATTGAACATTTTGCAACAAATAAGCTTATTTTGTTTCCCTTACATGTCTTGTTCAATTTTCCTTTCCCATTATTGCTGCAATTAAGTGGGTAATTTGTATCATACTATTTTCCATTTGTTACCAAACCACAAATAAGATTGGCATGCTTCCTTATGTCTACAGCAATAAAAACAACAATTAGTAAATTATGTTTCTGTGTTTCTAATCTAAACCAACAATTAGTACAAAAGATGTAGCTTGGTTGTAAATGATGGGGACCAGGTGTATTTTAAATTTTCACATAAGGAAACTACATTACCAATTCTTTTCATTCATTAACACCTCTACTTTTAAAACAAGGCATAGACCTTAGTCCTTTTTGTCAAAGCAAAATGCCTTAACATAGAATTGGAAGCATTATAATTAAGCATTATAATTAAAAAAAGCATTATAATTAAGTTGTACGCTTATCTTCCAAACATAGGCTTTACCCCTTATTAAGACAACAATGTTTATAGATGTTTAGGTTTCCTTTCTCAGGCCTCTTTCATATGCCCTTACCTTAAACTAGTTTATAGGTTCTTCAAGCAAAAGTCCATTCTTTCTTCCCTCAAGACTCTGGCCCCTAGTGTTCAGTCTATTCTAGTTTTCAAGTATGAGAGATCAAATAATGTTTAATATCTTGATTTCAAGTAGGTAGTTACTACTGAAAATAGGTTGAAATTGTTATGCATTTTTTGTGCACAACTGTCCCTCCAAATATTACCTAAGCATCTGCTACCCCCACTGTTTAATGAAAAATATTTTTTCTAAATATCTCTAAAATCATACCTAAGTCTGTTATATAAAAGATAACATGATCTGGGGCTACAAAATGAGTAGGCTAGTGGCCATCGATAGAATTACAAAGATATGGGCTGTACATGCCATTATTGAAATAGAAACACATTCTAGGAGAATATAATGGGAAGAATAATTACTTCCTGGGGTTTATCTCTACAGTCATTGAATGTTCATTCATTAAGCATATGCCTTGGTTAGGCTTCTCATTTTTATTAACAGCCCATAACTCTACTCTCACTGGTTGGTCTGTTCATGTCAGCAGTGTAGACTTTTGTGCTCTAGCACAAAAGTATACCCTTTAATCCTCTGTTCATATTCAGAATCCACTTGAGAAAAATAATTTTACAAAAGGGTTGTTCAAGGGCATCGATGCCCATATGTTACTGTATGGATTAAATCAGATCATAATGGGGCTGTATACTTCGGTGTATTGTTTTATTTTCCTGTCATTTCCTTTCTCCAAATTGGTTCCTTAGCCTAAGCCGTCAGCCTACAAAGAAGAAACAGAAGTTCCATG